ACACACACACACACACACACACACACACACACACACACACACACACAAAAGCAAGAAAATAGGAAAGGAATATGTAAGCCAGCTTTGAGGGTAGGAGAAAAGAAAATGATTCCTAGAGGAGTTTTCACATAAAATATGCCTTAAAGGATGAATGGCATTTGGCCAGTCAAGTAAGATAAAGGCAGCTCCTAGCAGAGGGGAATCCCAGGAGTAGAGACACATTGAACAACACGTATACACTATGACCCAGCAATGCTATCCCTAGGTACATATTCAACAGAAATGGGTATGTATGTTCACCAAAAGATCGTCAAGGATGCAAAAAAAGGTGGGGAGGGGCTGGTGTGGGGATGTGGTTTCTGGCATGTGGGAACTAGAGGGAGTAAAATCTGAGTGAGGACAGAGGCCAGCAGGCAGAGAACAGAGCACAAGGTCTTTGCAAACCATGTGAAACAGCTGAGACTTCAAGCCAGAGAGGAAGGGCAGTCAGTAAGGGTAGTGAGCATGGGAACAGCAGGGTTAAGTTTGTCATCAAGAAACTGCATGGGACATGGAACTGGAGAGAAAGAGGCAAGTAGATTTCAACACAGATCTGCTTAAGCCTAAATACTTGGAGTGAGGTTGGAAAGGAGAAAAACTCAAGCAATGTATAGGTGGTAAAAGTAGAAGAACTTGGTGACTGATTTGGTGTGCTGTGAGAGTGGGGAAGGCGAAAGGTAAGTTGATGAAAACTCGCAGGTATTTGACAGCAAAGGAAAAATACACAAGAGGAGGAGAAGGTTGGGGTGGACAAGGGGGAAGGTGATGAAGTCAGCACTGGAGGCATTAAATAGGGGGACTTCAGGGAGTATGTTCAGCAGGAGTTAACATCTGAGTTTGACAGGAAGCAACTCTGACTTAAGGTAGAGATGGATTCATCAGCACATCCTAGAAACTGAAACCCTGGGGTCTATGAAATCAAAGATTGCATGTGGTGAGCAATTAGAGACCCAAGGACTCTTGGTCCCACCAACGTTAAGGAAGAAGTGGAGGGAGAAGGGTCTATAAAGAAGGCAGAGGGAAATGGGCAGAGACGTACTCAGTAATCAGGAAATATGATATCATCAATGCCAATGCAGTGGGAAGTTTTAAAACCTGAGTCCCTGATCAGTAGTCCCAAATGCAGTAGTCAGAGGTCCAGGAAGGTTAGAACAGGAACAATTCCACTGGATTTGGCAATAACCAAGTCACTGATGACTTTAGTTAGAAATTTCAGACTTCAGTTCACTTCTGGCAATATAGCAGACTAAGCTGATAAACCCACATCACAACACTTTTAAAGAAATCTGGATAAAATATACCCTCCCCTAAAATCTTGGTACATAGCAGAGCTTGGGGTAGGGGTGGGGGGCAAGAGAGAGAAACTGACAAGCAAAAGAAACCAAGACTAAAATCCAAGCCTATACCACAGGAGACCATGACAGTATCAGACCTTGATATAAACCATACAATCCTGGTGTTTAATGCCCTCAAAGGGATAGGACATGTTGCTTTGGGCCCACACAAGATGGGGAAATGGAACTAATAGTTCTACATAAAGCTGAACATCTGTGGGCTGCCCAACATATAAAAAGGGGAGAAGGGAAACTACAAGCCCAGAAAAGCAATAGGAAAGCATGATATTTTTCAGGGGTTTGAGCAGAAAAAAGGCCTCCTTCAAGAAACTAAAACTCTAAGCCTGCACTACCCCTGAATAGAGTCACAGTATTTCAAATCCAAGCTGAAAAATAACATAAAACTGGGGTTAGACCTATGAAACCTTTTCAAAAATAGTAACCCTTCTACAACCTAAGATATAACCCTTGACAAAGAGAAACTCATAGTGTGAAATAAAAATTATAACACAAGGAAACAAAAAAAAAAAACTATGAGGGAGAATAAGTCAATCACAAATAGGAGAACAAGCAGTTACAGAAAATCCTGAAAAGCCATAAAACAAGAATTTAAAATGTGGTGGGGGGTGGGAGGGATGGGGTAGCTGGGTGATAGACATTGGGGAGGGTATGTGCTATGGTGAGCACTGTGAATTGTGTAAGACTGTTGAATCACAGACCTGTACCTCTGAAACAAACATTATATGTTAAAAAAAAAAAGAAGAAGAAGAAGAAGAAGATAGCAGGAGGGGAAAAATGAAGGGGGGGAATCAGAGGGGCAGACGAATCTTGAGAGACTATGGACTCTGAAAAACAAACTGAGGGTTCCAGAGGGGAGGCGTATGGGAGGATGGGTTAGCCTGGTGATGGGTATTAAAGAGGGCATGTTCTGCGTGGAGCACTGGGTGTTATGCACAAACAATGAATCATGGAACACTACATCAAAAATTAATGGTGTAATGTATGGTGATTAACATAATAAAAAATAAAATGTATAGAAACCATTATGGACAGATTTGGAAAAAGAATACATAGAATTACATAGAATATTTTAACAGTCGAAATTAAAAATTTGATAAATAAGTTCAACAGAATATCCTATACTAAGAAAAAAGAATTTATGAACCATAGGGTAAATCTGAAAAAACTACCCAGAAATCAGCAGAGATAAAAGACATAGCATATATGAACTAAGATATATGGCAAAGGGGACAGAATAAGCTCCATGATAGAATCTAGTCATAGTTCCAAAAGAAGAAAACCAAGAATGGTAGGAAAGGTAATAATCAAGAAGAATCGCTGTGTATTTTCCAAAAGTGAAAAAAAAAATAAATACATAAATTCTTAGATTGTATAAGTCATTGAGTCCTAAGGATTTAAAATAAAATAAATCCACACATTGATACATAGTATTGTAATGAAAAACCTAAAAGCAAGGACAAAAATCTTTAAAGCAAGAGAAAAGGTTATTCTCAAATGAATTAAAAACTTAGAGCAGACTCCTCACCATCAACAGTAAATTCCAGAAGACAATGAAATCCGTTAGTCTGTTCAGGCTGCTGTAACAAAACACAACAGACTGAGGTGGTTTTTACAACAGACATTGATTTTCTCACTGTCCTGGAGGCTGGAAGACCATGGTCAAGGTGCTGGCAAATTTGGTTTCTAGTGAGAATTCTCTTCCTGCCTTGTAGACAGCTGCCTTCTCACTGGGTGCTCACAGGAACCTTTCTTCTGTACTCATTCATGCAGACAGAGAGAGAGAGAGAGATCTTGGATATCCCTTCCTCTTATTAGTACATTGGTTCTATCTGATTGAAGGCCCACCCTTATGACCTCATTTAACCTTAATTTTCTCCCTAAAGGCCCTATTTCCAAATACAGTCACATTGATAGTTAGGGCTTCAATATATGAATTGGGTGGGAGTGGTGGGGGTGGGGGTCAGACACAATTCAGCCCACAACAGAATATCTTCAAAGTGTCTGAAGAAAAACAACTATCAGCTAGAATTCTATACCCAGATAAAGTATACTTACCCTTCAGAAATAAAGCCAAAGTAAAGATATTTTCAGACCAAGAAAATTCCTACATCTAAACCATCACTGAAATATCTACTAAATAGTGTCCTGCTTAGCAGTACACTAATTGAAACTAGAAGAGTAAACAGAAGCAGCAATAAATCAACTAAATTGGTAAGACAGTCTCTCAAGAAATATCTACTGAGCAGTCTCATAGGTGCCAGACGCACTTCTATTTGCTGGAGATGCTACAATACAACAAATCCTCTGATTTGTTGCATATAATCTGGTAAATGGTGATAACTGCACTCAATGAAAATAAAGCAGGAAAAGGCAGCAACAAGTAAAGACAGAAGTTTTATTCTGTGCTGCTAAATCCAAATGTGCATTGAGTATTGAAAAGTAGGAATAGTGGTGAATTTTCAGGGCTTAAAAATAAGGGGTTCCAGATAGGAAGGTAAAGGCAACAAGAATCATTTGCATCAGACTTTAGAGAGAGGTTTAAGAGACTCAGAAATCATGCTGGAGAAAAGAATAGAAAAATAATATTCATGCACCTGAATATTTATAGCAGCATTATCTACAATAGTCAAATTATGGAAGCAGCCCAAGTGTTCATCAACTGATGGATAAAGATGTAGTTTGTGTCATTCACACACGCGCGTGCGCGCGCGCGCACACACACACACACACACACACACACACACACACACACAGGAATATTACTCAGCCATAAAAAAGACTGAAATCTTGCCATTTGCAACACCATGGATGAAGCTAGAGAATATTATGTCAAGTGAAATAAGTCAGACAAATACCTTATGATTTCACTCTTATGTGGAAGAAATAAAACAAATAAGCAGAGGGCAAAAAGAGAGAGAGAAACCAAGAAACAGACTGTTAACTATAGAAAACAAAGTGATGGTTACCAAGGGGAGGTGGCTGAGGGGAATGGGGGAAATGGGGGAAATAGGTGATGGTGATTCCTTGTGATGAGCACCAGGTGTTGTAGGAAGTAAACTACTATATTCTACTATATGGTACTATATTTAGTTCTGAAACTAAAATTACACTATATGTTAACTAACTAGAATTTAAATAAAAGCTTAAAAATGAGAAAAAAAAAAAGAATTCACACTGGAAAATCCAAGCCAAGTTTCTAGATTCTTCATTTCCCCTCTGGCACCCCTCAGAATGCCAAATTTTCCTCAGACTATCAGACCCCACAGTGTAAGATGACTGGAGTCACAAAAGTTCTCATATAAACTCAAGAGACTCTAGTGGAAGAAACAGAACCATCTCTTACTTGTAGCTCTTCTTAAAAACAAAAGAAACCTTTCCCTGAAGCCCCTTGGTAGATTTTCCCCTGTGCTAATTGGCCAAGACAGTGTCACCTGCCCCTATCTACACCAATCACAGGCAAGGGAAATAAAAATCACAATGTTGGTCTTAAAATAATCCAGATTTAACTCCTAGTGACGGGTTTAAGTAACATGAGGAAGGAGACACCCCCAGACAAAACTCCACTTTTTCCATCAAGGAAAAAAGCAATGCCTACTAAGAAAAACACATACAGCATTTGCCCTACCTCCCATCTGCCTCAAAACTCACCACACAGTGGGGCACCTGGGTGGCTCAGCGTCTGCCTTCAGCTGGGGTCATGATCTCAGGGTCCTGGGATGGTTGGGCTCCCTGCTCAGCGGGGAGTCTGCTCTCCTCTCTCCCTCTGCCCATCCCCCTCACTTGTGCTCTCGCTTTTGCTCTCAAATGAACAAATTCTTCAAAAAAAAAAAATTTCACTACAGAGTAGTGACTATGTGAAACTATAATTAACCCCCACACAACATGGCAGAATATAACTCTGGAACTTGAAAAGAATTTTATGTTAATCTAATTCTCTCTACAAGTCCAACTGCTTTAACCCAAGCATGTGTTCAGGAGCCACATGCACGTTAACCAAACTGGATCTCTACTGTGCTAATTTAGTAACCAAACTGTAGGGACAACAGGGCCATCCAAATCAACCCTTGAAGATGGCGGAGCCGAATACCTCCCATGCATTAAGCCAAACCACAGTCAATCTATGCAGATATTTAAAGGTTCCCAGATGCCCCTATAAAAATTCTCTCTTCAGGCTATAGAGCCAGTTCCAGATTAGCAGAAATGTCAAAGAAATGTGCCTTTCACTAAAGACCATTTACAAATTATTTCAACATTATCAGGTTGGAAAGAGATTGTGCAAATGACTGGCTAAAGTGGATTAAATGCTTTCATTTCTATGAGAAATTGAAGTTATGATAATGGAATTTTACAGCCAAAAGGGACTTCTCGGGGTATTTAATAGGACTCCCACATTTTACAGATGAGACTTTGTGCAACTCGGTGGCATCGAGACTGGCAATTTGACAAAGATTTCATCCAAGAGAAACCTTTTAAATGTATTGGTTATCACACTGTCCTGGGAGCAAGAGAGGATACATTAATTCAGCAGTTCTTTACCACCTTTGTGGCGAGTCACATACCCAAAGTTTACATCTAATTTCAGACTCTTCCTGCGACCTCTGAGGTTCACCTAGGGATCCTAGGATTAAAAGTCCCCCTCCATTAGATAGTTAACATAATCAGTTCTGAGAGATAAACTGAGGTTATGATTTTCTTTACCATTATTTAGATGTAGGAAATAATTACATGCTAATTTTTTCTATGCCTTGCTCAATCCTATTATGTTTTACCCAGTTAGTATAAATTCAAGAAATTCTATCCATTTTAAAACACTCCAAGAAAAGAGAGTGGTTCCATAATGTGAGGTAAGTGGAAGTCTCTGCCCTCTTTCCAGTCTATCACTGCATCCCTAGGTCTATCAAAACTCTTACAGAAAGCCTTAATAATGATGATGATGATAATGGTCTTTAAGTAACTAGATCAACCTCATACTTTCAACCTTTCAAGATACTGACAAAATTATCATCTCAAATCCCTTACCATCTAGGAAGGACCAGTTTGATTATTCCCACTTTATAGATGAAGAAATACAAAGAGACTCAATGACTTAGCTAAAATCATGTCTCAAATTAAGAGCAAAATTAGGGGTAATACCTGGGTTTCTTCATTGGTGTTTCCAGTTATTAAATCAGTGGTACACAACAGCACTTCAATTAGAAATAGCTACCCAAATATATTGTTAAGATACTATGTTCCTCTCAAGCCAAAAACAGAACTTTCTTGTGGATTATCTGCTCACTTTGAATTATCTCCATGCTGCTTCACTCCACTAGCCTGAAGAATAGCACTGGCCATGCCTTAAATAAAACTGCCTCCATACGCATGAGCTATCCAGGCAGCAAAGGCATAAAAATTAGTTTTTCCGTTGGCTAGCTGACCACAGCTAACCTCAACAGTCTCCAAGTAATCCTGAGTAACTTCTGCATCACCTTGATCTGATTTGTGCTAAAACTAATCCCTTCAACTTGGGCACAGTACAGAGAAAACAGTTGTGTGATTTGTCTGCTGACACTTCACCAACTTGGATCACTTTCCAGCTCATTTTAGCTGGGTAAATAATAGCTCGATATGTAGCACCTGCTAAGTGAAATGAAAATGGAAAATGTTTTAAAGGGTTTTCACTTAATGTCTTCATACTACTATAAATGTATGAAAATTTTATATCCGGGTTTTTATTACTGTTGATTGCTAAACTGACATGGGAAAATAATCCAAGCTGGCACATTAATGAAACATGATTTTTTTCTAAGTGACTTTTTTTTTTTTTTAAGAACAAAGCTCAACACAATTAAATGGTAAAAAGCCACTCTAACTTTTAACTCTTTAAAGATTGTACAGGAGCTATCAGATTGTTTTTACATGCTTTCTTAGCCACTTCCCCTTGCCTAGAAAACTTCCTTCTGACACAGTGGCATGTGCAAACCCAGTCTTGTGTTTGCAGGTTTGCTCTCACACCATCACTAATGTCCCTCTTCAAATAAATGTCCTTTCAGAGCCCTCAGAAACATTCCTACCCGTTCCAGAAAGCTATGACAATACAGGGAAAGAGAGAGTAGAAAAAGACTAACAAGAATTGCGGGCATATGCCAGGAAAGGCTCTACTGAGAGCAGACATGCCCTCGGGAAAGAGTGCCAACATTAATCCGAGTCTCTCAAAAGTGGGTTCAGCCCCACCAGTAACAACAAAGAGGAGCCCAAACCCTCCCAACAATGCTCTCTCTCACACTCATGAACGACTTGCTTTAGAAGCTCACATTCATCCAAGAGGTGGTGTCAGTGGTGGAATTAGTCACACCTGCCAGTGAATAGCAAACAACAGCTGTATAGACACAAGTGAGTTATTGGTTGTAGGCTACAATCTCCCAGGAAGCAAACTATGCAATTTCTGCTGCTTCCAGGCCAACTGAAAGGAACTTAAATTTGCAAATGATTAAGTGTCTTAATTGTGTCATCTTAAAGCATTTCATTACCATAACCAACACCAAAAGGCTGGGAGAAGCCCAGCTGTGGCATTCAGAGGCTCTACCCTAAATTTTAGCAGCCATGACACTTTCCATTCCACTTCTCCCTCATCATCAGATCCCGTCTGCACATTCTAACTGCCTGATGCAAACTAGTTTGGGGAAAAGGCATGCCTAGAAACCAAGGATTCTGATTCCAGTGTTCCCCACTGCCTCACCATATTGTTCCCTTGTCTTTATGTAACAGCAAAGAGGAAATTGGGGAAGAACTATGAGCTGTTTAATGGAATTCTCCCAACATTTAATTTCATGAACTCACCCTCTTAAGTACCTCCTGAAAAATCCAACCCCAAGCAAGATGCTAGGGACAATATACTAAAAAGAAACATAACATGTGTAATGTGCCCTCAAGAAAGTTATGTTCTGGGTCTGGAGGCAAAATCCATCACACTAAATTCATTCACCAATATTAACAAATGCTATGAGCAAAGCATTGTGC